GGTGAGTGAGGCCGTGCGCCAGCCACGGCCACCATACAGCGACCATCGAATCATCTACGTTCGTTCGTTCCTCCAGAAACGCCTGCGTCAAAATGTAATGGTATTCCCCAATTTCAATTTTTGGGGTCTCATCACAGCAGTCGCCACTAAAAAATACCGCACCACAAAAGAAATCTGTGATGTGCGAGACGGTAATGTTGACACCGTTTCTTTGGGTCCGGTAGCAGTTTCTCTTGGCTCCACCGTGTTTTCCGTGAAATGGGTCTGTCTACGACAGATACATGGCGGGGGGCGGGGGCGGGAGGCGTATCTTCAGCGGCGGGACTGAGCTAAATTGTTGCAGCTGTGAAGTCCCTTCCGTTCCCCTTGTTGCCTCCCCCTCCTTCCATTCCTTTGGCTCCCGCATACGCGAAACATTATTAGTAGTGCTCTGAAAAAAACGTTGGTTGAAGAGACGCGTTCTTCGCCTCGCTCGCCCTCACAGCCTGTTTCTTCTTTTTTTTGTGTGTGTGTGACCCAACACACTTTATTTTCCACACGAGCAAGCGTCAAGAAGACAACGAGGCATTATTTATTTTTTTCGGTTTGCTTTCCATTTGGTCGGACGGAGCCATCACGCACCACCCGCACGCGCGTGTTCGCGCCCCCCAGGCTTGCCAAGAGCAAGCACGAGGCACCAAAAAACAACGAATCGGATGCAAACACACCTGAGATACATACAGCCAACACAAACACGACGACACACGTGAAATACTATACTCCCCAAGTATTAGTTAAAGGAGGTCTACACACACGCGGGGGCTGGGGGTTAGACAAAGGCCAAAACACCACACCACCGAGGTACTAGATACTACTACCAGGGAGGTGTCTCTGCCGTAGCTGAGAATGACCACGTAGTCTTACTACCACACGATGGTGGTTGGCGCTATTTACCTTCAGATGTCAAGGCCCCTCGTCACCCAAGAAAACACCACACGCCTCTCCACCAAAAAGACTTACCGCGATCAACAGAAAAAATCTTATCAACAGACACAGGGGCGATCCCCCCTCCCCCCCCCTTGTCACCTCGCCGCAAAACACACACACACCTACATACTATACCTGCTGCTATGCTGACGTCGCTCAGCACTCGTCTGGGCTGCCTAAATTACGTTGCTATCTCATACCCACAAAAAACACAGCCTACCCTTGCTGACTTCCCCACATGCGTATACATACCAAACATGCTACAACTACCCTTACAACGTAGACTACCAGGGAGCCGTGGGCGTAACCTCTTTGCGCTCTGGGGGGGGGGGGGGGGGGGGGGGCCCCACCCAGGGAACAGGGAAGAGGGGGTGTTAAGTGAGGGACATTGGTAAAAGCGTATGCATATATCCCGGGTATCATAGCTGTGAACCGAGAGGGGGGGGGGGGGTGTACTCATAGTCGTGCATGCCGTAGTCGTTTGACCATTGACCTCGCATCCCTACAAAGCCGGGACGGAGAACGCCGGGTTCTCACCGGACCAGGCTCTCACATCACCAAGCGCGAAGCGCCGTGAGGTATTTGGCGAGTCGCATGAAGGGTGAGCTGCATCCTGCTAAGGGTGTTCGGCATCTTGTGCTTACTTCCTTGCGTACGGATGACAGCTACGTATGACTTAATTTATTTTCTGGTGCTTTCACTTCCAGAGACAGTTGTAAGCACTGTGTAACTGCCTCGAGGAAGCTTGACCATTTTAACACAACGTGGTGCGATCATCCCCCATTGCGCGGAGTGAGGGTTCTCGACCCCGCACAACATGATCTACTCGACCACCATTCATGGTTACCGCCAAAAAAAACACCGAGGTAAAAAAAAAAAAACGGTAACCTGGTTGCCGAGTTCACGAAGTGAATTGGCTTGTTTTACAACGTCGTTGCCAAGCGACGAAAACCCAACCCCGATGGCAAACACCGAGTGGGGGGAGGGGTGCAGAAAACAGGCCAGCAACTAACGTTATCAGTGGAGTGGCGTGTGCACAGGTGCCGCCGCTACAGTATCCGTTTGGGTTGGGTTGTTGGGATGGTTGTCCATCGACAAACCTAACCAACGGCGGAAGCAAGTCCTTTCTTCCTGCTTGCATCCGCCACCACCCTTTTCCCTGTTTTTCTTCACGCCGTGTGACCTTCCTCCTGCGTCAGACCCCGGCTGACCAACGTCCTAAACGCACCCCGAGAGTTGTGTCGACTGTCTCGCCACAACGCATGGGTGGGACGAACAAACACACACACGCACATTCCCTTTATCCGGCGACGTCTTTTCATTGGTCGGCCAGCCGGTTATCGTCGTGGTCCATGCTAACTAAGAAAACACACACAACACGCCTACCGCACACGACACAAAAAAGACCGAGACAATTAAACAACAACAAACACCCCACCTGCAGCCCGGCCGCCTCCGACCCGTCCGCGCCGACGACCCCGACCATGTGAGCCGCCACCTCGGCCACCTCCTTGCTCCTCCTGGGCCCCTTGAACGCGGCCATCGCGCCGAGCACCATGCCCGAGAAAGTCCGCAGCACGGGCGACCGCTTGTTCGCCATCAGCCTCAGCAGCCAGTGCTCCGGGAAGGATGAAAAGCGGGCATGCTGTAAACCACCACCGCCGCAGAGCGCGGACTCTGCCGTGACCGCGGCCGCGGTGGCGGCGTGTGCGTTTTTCGCCTGTGCGGGTGTGACCCACCCCACCCTGCAGCAGAAGCCGCCGCCGCCGGTCATTGTCGCCGAAGCCGATGGCAGGGCCTGCGCGTCGGCAGAGGCGCGCAGAACTTCGTCGAGAACAACGTCTTCCACTCTGCCCCCGTCGCTCGCCGGGGTGGCCACCTCAACGTCGGGCAAGGAGGGTGAAGCGCCGCTAGCGGCGGCGGCGGTGGCGGCGGCGGCGGCGGCACCATGGTGTTGTTCATCGCCGTCGGGCGGCGGCGGAGCTCCTTCTTTTTCCCTCAGGTCGGGGTAGTCGACCCCGTCAAGGCAGAGTGCCGCCACGGTGTCCAGGCAGGGGAGCACGACGTGCTTGACCATCGCGAGGCTGGCGTCCGCCGCCGCTGGCATCCGCCGCAGGATCTCGAGAAGGAGGCCGACGTGCAGCCTCCAGCACGCGGCCGCCTCTCTCCCCTCCGGCTCCTCCT